AAAATTCGTTGGTTGAGTTCACATTTTCCACAAAAAGCAATTACAAATTCAATTTGTTCCTGAAAAATTCTTTCACCAAGGCACAATTTTTCTGTGACTAAAACGGTATCATATTTATTTCCTTAAAGTGTAAGACGCGCACTTCTAATTTGTATTGCCTAGAATTGTAGGATAAAGACCGATCTCCGAAATATGCAAGTGTTTTTCAATTGAATCCTTTTCGACATATTGTCGTCCTAAAATGGCTTAAATTTTGTTCACAACATTCCCATCGGAGTAATTGCAAACATGTATGCACGTATCATCATTCGATCAACAATTCATACAAAAAGCCAAATAAACATGACTATAGATGTTCAATTGAGATGCAGTCTATTTTCTGATAATGGTTATTTCCATGCCAGATGTTCATCTGTTCTGGTACTGAGGAGAAAAAGAAGACAAATAACTAATTATAAAAAGTTATGTAGTGAAATCAGACGATTCCTATGGAAATACTATAGAAAGATTTGCGGAATTAAGCTCGTCATGTGAGCTCAAGATGAAAATAACACGTAAAAAAGGTCAATACCCCAGCAGCTCAATTTTGTTGGAATAAATTTGTCTATAGAATATAATTCAACGAATGACTCAAAGAGTGCAGTATTTCAGAGTATTTTGCACGTACGTCATGTTTGTAAATGCTGTGCAGACACCATCCATATCATGGCATACAGGGAATTGTTCAGCCTAGAAATTTCTCGTGAATTGTACTGAATTGAAAGCTATAGTGTTATTCACGTACCACAGCACTGCGGGTATATATGAAAAACTGATTTTCAAGTACTCATTTTACACAGTCTTCACTGTTTCCAGCGTTCACCTACTTAGAAAACGTGTCTCTTGACGTAAAAAAAACGACACGTATAAAAGCGTCAAGTATTATTTACTGTACCGTTCATCCTTTGCAAGCTTACACCTTCAAATATTAAGTTGTTCAATAAATTATTCCCCGAAATTTCTCCTCCATTTCTCCTCACTTGTAAGTTCGTGTTTAACTTTAAGCTCTTTTTTTCACCGGCAAGTCATCTTTGGGAGATGGTCTACTGTATATTGATCATCAATATTATAAGGAAAAAGTTTTGGTATGTAGATTCCCGAGTTGAATCTCGATTTTTTACATTATCTTGAGCGATGTGTGTACTAAAGACAAATGTTTGCTGTGATTCACAGGACTCGAAGAACAGGACTATAATTCTTTGGAGCAAAGGTGTGCTACAAAGAAATACCGGTTTGAAATGGCTTCGAGAGCAAGCTGATAGTGCCAACGGGACTCGACGTGGCGTGGTTTATTTTGCTGACGACGACAATGTGTACGATCTGGAGCTGTTTGAAAGGGTAATTCAGAAATTCTTTTGTCAGTTTAGCACACACACACAAAAAAATTGCGTCAAAGTGCTGGTGTCAATATATAGATGCGTCACGTGAAGAAAGCATCGGCATGGGCTGTTGCTTTCGTCGGCGGGTTGCTGGTTGAACGCCCGATTTTCGACGAAGAAACAAAGCTGGTTGTTGGATGGAATTCCTTGTACCAAAGATGGAGACGGTATCCAGTGGGTTGGTATTTTGTTTCTGAGAGATGGCACATTCTTAAAGTTTCACAGCACTTGCTGAAGACATTCTTTTATCGCCAGTATAGTTATAGATTTTTGAAACAGGGACCAGAAAGAGCTGATGTATGATGAGTCCAAGACTGAAACTTTAAAGGCCATCATGCATTGAATTCACAAAATTATTCCTAAATAAAACCTGCGGTTGAGTTCAAACGCGCCAATGATGTGTACCTGATGATGATTAAAAGCTTTTTTACAATTTAATTTCAAAATTGAAAAATCTTTCCGCATGTTCATCCAAATCATTTTTAAAGAAGTCTTATATACTCCACGGATGTGGCAGGTAATTTCGAATCGCTTTGCTTATGTATACTTTAATTTTTATCGCTGCCCTGATTCGTTATCGCCGGTTTTAGGGGTTCGACGACGAGGATTAAATGCGTTCTCGTCCAACTAATGAAAAAGAAACTGATAGAAATACATTTGTTTCCAGATATGGCCGGTTTTGCGGTCAATCTCAGATTAGTGCTCGAGAAACGGGATGCAGTATTTTTTCACAATTCATCTGGAGGAACATTAGAGGAAGGATTCTTGGGCAAGCTTGGGGTTCCGTTCGAAGAATTCGAAATCAATTACGAAGGAGCAAATAAGGTGAACCATATTTCGTTTAAAATGCTCAAACGATTTACGTTTGCGAATATAAGTGCGTATACGTATAAGCATTGGGAGAATATAGTTTATTCAAAAGTTTTTTTTTCTCTCTTCAGGTGTATGTGTGGCATACAAAGACTGCCCCTTTGCGTCTGGATATTGAGAAAAAATTGGGAATGCCTTCAAGTTTAGGACTCGAAGTATAATTAGGATGCGCGTTCTTCGTCGAAGATCGAGCTTTAGCGATCACAATCAGATTAAAATTTTTTAAAATTGCCTCCGCCATTTATAATTTAGAGTTTTTTGATGTTGTTGTTGATATAATATTACTGTACTGTATATGCGTCGTGGTTAAACCAGTGATCTGGATATACTTCTCGTACGATAATATTTTGAATATTAATAACAGAATTCGACTGCAGCGGGAATCAGATTGTGGGAAAAATCGAAAAAATGCAATTGCATGTAATTTTGTAGTGCACTAAAACAGATGAAGGCTCTAATTAATGCTTCAAAAGACTTTATTTCAGATTCCTTTTCAACTTTGTCTGGATTTCATTTCAACTCGAAATTATGCCAAGCACTAATTACAAAGCGCAGTGTGATGTGAAAAATTAATAACTGAAATGAGCTCTTGATGGAGGATTTGTTGTGATGAGCGTGAAAGTTGTCCGGATTCTTTTTTTTTACGCGAAACATCTTTGTTGGTATTGTTACTGTTGTTTGTCCCATTTTCGGAACAGAAAATTCATTTCAAAAATGGTATTATTTTCATTTCACACCCTCTGCTACGATAAGACATCATAATTGCTGGTTTACTGGAGAAAAAAGAGCTCAGATTAAATTCACGCGGACGAAAATCAACCCAAATTGTATTAAACGATAAAAGAACTCCATGACGAGCCACATAATGCAAATTTCTTGCATTTTCATTGACGCCACAGGAAATTCGTGTCATATCCTAAAATTATGCCATCATTTCTCCAAATGGGCTTTTCAAAAATTCGCGCAGTCAACGGAAAGAACGTAGCATCCTCATCAGTGTTTGAAGAAAACATTTTCCCTTATCGAATTCCCTCAACCCACTGTATAAATTTTTACGTCTTTGTTTGACATTTTTGAAGATTTAAAAAAAAATCCTATTGCGTTTAAAAATTTCTCCGGTGTATGTCATGCTATTTTAGACCGAATTTTATGGATTTAATTTGAGGGGGTAAGTGTTTCGTAATTAAACAAAAATTAATTTAAAAATCGCTGCCAAAGAGGCAACGTTTGATCCAATTAAACTACAGTACATCATGTCGTGTGTGTTTTTCTTCGTGATTTTATAATATCCGTTCATTTGTTTTTCTCTTGGGCAAATTTTTGAGAAATTTAAATTTTGAGTGAATTTGATCACGATGTTTTCGAATGATGAATTTTGCACAGATGCTTTCATATACAGTACATGCATGGCGATTTTTCTGGGTACCTTTCTTGATGAATGAGGACTTTTCAATCCCTCTGTGCTTTTTTTTCTCAAGCTAGTCAAGCATTATAATATCCGAAATTCTATCCAGAATAAGATAGCTGAAGAACCTGGATATTGTAAGACCACATCAGGAGTTCTTCTCTTATTCATTCGATTAAAATTCTATCAATTCGGTTCAACCTGCGAAACTATCCTGACTCTCTGTGGAGTCAAACCGCTCGGGGTTTTCACGTATCGAACAACAATCCAATCTGGCACGGATTTGAAAAGACTGCTTTTAACGACGTAATCGTTGTAACGAGCTTCTTGTTCAATGGAACTCGTTTGTCTCCGCACCAACGAAGATCGTCGCGCTGCTGCTGCTCGCTCCAAATTCACCTCAGTGCACAATTTAATCATCCGGTTGCCCATGAAAAAGTCAGTGGACACGATCGTGAATGCGCTTCTCCAAATCGTGCTGAACCATTTGTCCAAGCCCGCATTGCTGACTTTCTCTGCCAAATCTCGGAGTCCCGGGGATTGCAGACCACTGACCAAGTCATTCACTTGCGGGGTGAGGAACGCGTTTGCTGTGAACAGGACTCGACCTTGCAAAAAGCTGACGTCCCTGCAATTTTCACACAACGCGTCATCGTTGCAGTCGTGAGACACGGGTGTCAATCGTAACGTTTCTTCTGTTATATATCCTTGACAGATTCTCGACTTTTAGATTCAATACTATATTTATATTACAAACTACTGTATATTCTGGGTGAAACTCGTGAAAGAATAATTGATAAAATCGACCGATTCCTGAACGGTTGAGTTTCACCGTTCAACAAAACATCCCGTACGAAAAAGTCATAATGTTGCGTTTTCTTTGAATCTTTGTTGAGATGTTAATTTATGCATTGCTGTTGTTGTCTTATCACAAACTTTGAAAAACTGATTGACTGCATGATAACATAGTTAGTAATTGAATGTCTTTCCCACGTTTTCGAATGATTTCCAAAGAGCTATATGAAGCCAGCTCTAGAAAATTTAGGACAGTAATTTATTCACGCTCTTCCGATACATTTTCAAGACTTTTGTATAATTTTTTTGACGGAACTGCAAAGTGGAGGGAGATTATCATTGTGGCAGAAATTTGGATTTATTATCTGCTTCACGCAACTCTGTTGAAAAAAAAAACCCACTTATTTCTTTAAAATCCTGACATGCTTATGCTTCTATATATGTATTCTATCGACCAATCCTCACTTAAGTAGAGTGTAATCAATCGAAAAAGCAAAAGAAAATTTGGTCACGACTGGTGAACGTGATTAGGAAACGCGCATGTTAATTTGTTTTGTTTTTTTAATTTGAAACGGACTCATTTAAAAGTTTTTATTTTACTTTGTACTGGAAGACATGTACTGTAGTAGCATTGACTTCCGGCGGCCTTCTTACACTCACTTTACTTTAAAAGGCAATTCATGTAGTTTTTATCGCTTTCTGATTCGCCTCCGGGATATGGAAAAAACAGGGTGCTTTCCATAAATTTTTAACTCAGCGTTTGGTCTATTTAATGTTACCTTAAAATGCAATTTATTCTTAAGAAGTAAAACTTTGATCGGAATTTTGAGTCAAGAAAAACTCAAATTAGACAAGACAGTTTTCTACCTTTCGAACCCGATGGGATTCACTGCATTGACCAATTTAATTCCTGTCTTGCATGTCTTTGAAATTTAGTCATGATTTCAAATTATTTTTAATACTCTTCGGTGACAATTGAGTTTTCTGAATTCTTTTCGTAACTTTTTAATTACACGCTATAATCAAACTGCTGGTCATCAGTCCTCAAAGTCACCGACGATCTTGCATTATTCAATATTTCATTGGCTGTTTTAAAATCTCGAGTCATTCAGAGAAAAGATGAAACGCTTCCGATACATTAGCAATTTATGGCATCTATCTGATTCTGATTTTATTGAAATTGGCGGATTAAAAAATTCAAGTAATCAACCTTCGAAACACAACGAAGCATACTATATTCACAGACGAGAAAAGAACTATCACGCTGCTGAATTTTCAGAGAAAATCTAGATAGACAACTTGTTGCTTGAAATATTTTAAACATTTTCGGAAATGTCGGTAGATATATACACTATCAGGTTTATTGAAAATTGTCTCTGAGTAATTCATTTAGATGATTTTGAAGCTTTTTTTTTTTAGGGTTGATGCGGTCTTCTGCCCGAAAATTTTCTGCTATACGTATTCGATTTGTGGAACATGGTCATTACTCATTACATAATCCCCGATGTTTGAATCATGAGGGTTCGGGATCAGGACTTACAATGCAAATCGTTTGCTCAGGTAATCCTTGAGCTGGAAGATATGGGCAGTGTTGGCCCACAGATGGATGACATTCTCCCACAAAAGATGCTGGCCATTTTCCACCACTTCGTCTTCATAGGCGATGAACAAACGGTGACCTCCGGCCCACATTTCTCCGAGCGTGATGTTGGTGCCCAGAGTTGATTCCGGAAGTGCCAACGTGGACCAAGATGGCTGGGCCTTGATCATCTCCACTAGCTGTTGATGAGCTTCCGCATTGAATCCGACGGGAAATCGATGAAAGTCCAGCACGAGGATCTCATTCGTGGCTGCCATGAACCGAGTCACTTGGTCAAAGATGGTCTTCAACGGCATGATGCGGATCTTGTCGTGGTTCAGGAAGAACTTTTCCGGGCTTTCTGGATAGTAGCCGACTCGGAGGTCCAAGTAACGGATACCCAGCACTAGCTGGTTGAAAATGGACTCTTCTTGGGCGATGAGGAACTTTTTGCGTACGACTTGGGAGAGGAAGTCTGTGTACTGACTGTAAGCGCCCGAATTATGCGTTCCCGGCAGCGCGACTTCGGAGAGCATCAGACTGCTCAGGGATTCCCTTTGATATGAACCCAAAAATCAGACATGCGCAATGCTTCGACATAAGGACACTCAATTCAATATACTGTATACACCGTATAAGACTTTGTTTCTCCTGTACAGTACACTGACCTTTGGTTCATAGGTAAATACTATACATGCGTATTTTCCATGAAGGACTGAAATCTTAAAAGATCAAGATAAACTGTTGGCCTTATATGATTTCTCATCAAAGATTCTCTCTAATTTGTTCATTCAACTAAACTTCATACAGAAACAAGCTGAAGACCTTGTGTTTTAAATTAATTTTTACATATATTTTGTTTCCAATGTCAGGGAATGAATGGGTGTATGCATACATGTCAGATGTTCAGTCGTATATCATGGATCGTATTTTATTCTATTTTTGTTATCAATATGTGCTCTCTTTTCTGCTCTGAAATGATTAAATGTCATTGAGTGGATTTGGGTTGGGTGGGAACTGGGTTTGGTTGTGGAAATCTTGATTGAACCTTGTGAAGGCTGAAAAGCAGCAAATAAAGTGTTCTGTCCATTCATTCATTCATTCATGAAGGGCTTTTCTCTCAATGGACTCAACTCTGGTTTTTCTCTCGCACAGTGAACCGCGTGCAAGTCGGATAATGGACAGTTCTCAGGAAAAGTTATAGGCTTTTAAAAATTCAAAGTTGCTGCTGAAAATTTAGCAAATGTTATCCAATTTCAAGTGAATTAGAGTTTGCATACATAGTCCTGATTGAACTAAGCATTGTTTTTCTGGTTGCTGCTGTTATTTATTTTTTTTATATTACTGTACACGCGTATTTATTCAATTTTCCGCTGAGAGCTGCAAAATACTGTTCTTAATAAAAGAAAAATAAATAATAAATGTTCTTACATGCACTATATCTCTGCAGTTTTTGAGCCGATGTAATACAATATCTTCTTCAAGGAAATATTCTATCAGAGATTTTATTACGGTATTTTGTTTTTTAATGCCTCAATTTTTATATTTTGCAACAACAAAAAATGTTACTCTCCACGTAGTACATCTACATCTTGAATGAAGTACCTAAGGTAGGTTGCGCCGAAAGCCCGCTCCGTCAGCACGCTGTCCTGCAACGGAAGCTTTAAGTGCATTCGTTGGGTCTTTGGGTCTGAGGCATTCGAGGTCAAATCCCGATCCCCGAACTCAAACTCGGGAACCTGAACCTTGGTCGCGTGTCGGCCAACGATATTAGGAAACACCTTTTCCAGGGCTTGGGAGTCCAATTCAATCGGTCTCATCTTGGCAGGGTTCGTATTATACAAACGTATTGAGTCTGCCGAGTTGGTCAAGTGTCCGCAGAGGGACCAATTCATCTGCAATTGTCTGCTGCCCCTGGAGAAAAGACCCTTGGTGACCAGTGCTGGGTTGATGGTGAGATACACGATCGGCACGTTCTGGTCGCATTTGGAAGCAGTGGGTTCCGCGGAATTTTCTGCTTCCGTCAGCGATGGAGATTTGAAGGGGGTATTTGAAAGAAACAGCATTTCAAATTTAGCGAGTAGTTATGTACAGTACTAGCTTCAAAGACTTGATCTCCTAAACAACCTAACGTACTTACTGGAAGTCTATAATACTGCACTATAAAACGCCAATGGGTATACCAGTATGAGGCGCCCTGAGCACAGTTTTTTTTTTTCGGAAAAGTTCTCCAAAAAATTTCCGTGGAACTCATTTGGATGAGTTTCGACATTTTTTGGAGATCTTCTTGCTCACTGGGTCGCACTAACTTCATTGCATTATTTTTTCAGATTTAGAAATTAGTAAGAGAAGCAGGTGCGTGTCATTTATTCACCAAAATAATTTTCAACAGACATTTATTCTTTGAAGTTCGAGATTAAAAAAATGAGAGTTGCTTGCAGTAAATGTCGCCGTATCCGTGTCTGCCGACTGCGTAAATGAAATTAAAACGTCAAGGAAACGAGAAACTGCTTTTCAATGGTAAAACAAAAAATCTCCTGTATACAAGAAAAGACCCTTGGTGACCAGTGCTGGGTTGATGGTGAGATACACGATCGGCACGTTCTGGTCGCATTTGGAAGCAGTGGGTTCCGCGGAATTTTCTGCTTCCGTCAGCGATGGAGATTTGAAGGGAGTATTTGAAAGAAACAGCATTTCAAATTTAGCGAGTAGTTATGTACAGTACTAGCTTCAAAGACTTGATCTCCTAAACAACCTAACGTACTTACTGGAAGTCTATATAATACTGCACTATAAAACGCCAATGGGTATACGAGTATGAGGCGCCCAGAGCACAGTTTTTTTTTTCAGAAAAGTTCTCCAAAAAATTTCCGTGGAACTCATTTGGATGAGTTTCGACATTTTTTGGAGATCTTCTTGCTCACACTGGGTTGCACTAACTTCATTGCATTCTTTTTTCAGCATTATAAATTAGTAAGAGAAGCAGGTGCGTGTAATTTATTCACCAAAATAATTTTCAAAAGATTCACAAAAAGACATTTATTCTTTGAAGTTCGAGATTAAAAAAAATGAGAGTTGCTTGCAGTAAATGTCGCCGTATCCGTGTCTGCCGACTGCGTAAATGAAATTAAAACGTCAAGGAAACGAGAAACTGCTTTTCAATGGTAAAACAAAAAATCTCCTGTATACAGTACATATAAATACAGGTACACCGTATATTTGTATATAAGTATAGTTCATGTCCGCCGGAAAGGGAAGAACGAATCTCACCGGATTGTCGAGCCGTGAAGTCGGTGCCGACGCTGAATGCCGACAGCGACGACAATCCCACCAGCACGAGCAGGAATTTTGCGCGCCAGTTCCGCATTTCCGACACTACCGGCGCGACGAACCACTTCGACGCTGTCGAACTTGGTTCACAGAGCAGCAGAGCACAAGATACGCTAGTGGCGTGATAACGACATTTTCCAGAGAACCGCGTCGTGTTTTCGGAAACCTGTACACTATCTCAGTCTCTTCTACTGAGCTAACGTTTGCCTTTGAGGCACTCTAATGTACCGTACGGTAAAATGTATGTAGTGGAAGTGACCATGCTGGTTCAACTAATCCTTCGTTACGCGACGGGGTTCGGTCTATCAGGAAAATTATCAGACCAATTCTTGTACAGATCGGTGTGATAATTATTATACGACAGTGTTGACACATCCATCAAAGAATTATAAGTTAAAATCTAAAAAAGTTGAGCCAATATTTTAATGAAATATTTGCACTCTCTGTGCGATACAGGATATGTTCCCTACGAAAATTTTCGTTATAAATAGTTCTGGACAAAGTGGATTTTTTACAGCACTTGATTTTTTGACTATCTATAGCTCCATTCAAATGCAAAAATTATCGTCCACTAAAATAATTTTGTTCTTATTCACGAGGCATTTACTTCCTGAATTTTGAGATGAAAAAAAACAGTTGTATTTCTATGAACGATGTGACCATTATTCGGGAAAAACAAATCATAAAGAAATGTCCACATTTTTCCTAATACCTTCGGCTTTTCTTTTATTCAGCTACATGAAGTCCAGAAGCTTATATTCAGTTTCAATTGGAATTTTACCGTTGAACAAGATTTCGAGCATGAAATGCATACGCTTTCAGGAAAATTTTTATGTTTCTATTTTAAATTACAATAATTTATCAGCATCACAGGTCATTCATGCTCGGGGCACGTTATCAAATAACCATTTATCGTGACATCTTGACTCGGATAAACGAAATACAAAATTTTACTGAAATAAATTAATTAAATATTGAGGACCACTTCTATCGGAAAATTTTAATTTATAACAAGATTTTATCAAATTGAAAAAACATGGCAGGAAAAATGCAGGTTGAAAAGCGAGTGCCAAATTTTTAAGGCATTCAACCAACCACTGCAACTGTACTATTGAAACTTCAATTTTATCTAACAGCACTTGTATAAAGTATTTTCAAAAGTTTTTTTTAGCCATTCAGGATGTCTCTGTCAGGAGATCAATAAACTATTTATTATTCTGAGCCAATGTGAATATTTTGACCGCAGGAAAGATTACGATAAACTCTCAATGCCGGAGATGAGATAACAAATCGATCTTTCCTTTGAAGGGACTTTTTCGGTTGAATGAAAGTATAAAAACTGATCTGAAATAAATTGATAATATAATTGAGGAAGCTTTAGAACTTTTTATATTTAGAATTCGGGCCTTTTCTGAAAAAAAGACGTCATTTTGCGCCGGCTTTCATATTTTTGGTTTTGTTTTCAAATATGGTCAAGATTCTCAAGAAGCACTGCTTGGCGAGTGAAAAGGCAAACCAAGCTGAACTTAATTATGCTTCTTGGTTGGCGGCATTCTAAGCCGAAAAGAAGTTATTTTATTTTATTAGCATAATGAAAGCTGCCATTTTCGATCGGTTCTTATGATGAGGCGGGGAAGGAAAACGCAACGTGAAAGACATCCACAAATTGCATCAATTTTCTACAGCAGTCAACACTGACGCCTTTGTTCTCATATAATCGCACACTATGCACTCAGCAATCACCGACGCGTGCAAAAAAAAAGAAAAGAAGTGAACTGGCCGCACAAAAATTTCGAAACTTCCACTTCATTCCGTCTCTCTTCCCTTTCACCCTTTGCGTTCCCGATTTTCACAACTATCATTTCACCTCCTGATTTCTTCTGACACTCTCGCCCAATCAGCATTTTCACGGAACGCGGAAGAGATCCCGGGAAAACAGCGAGGAAATAAAAGTCGGTTTTCATATATAGCCGACCTGAAACCGAATTCCATCTGCTGCGGTTCCTATACAGTGTCGTTCACATCGTACGAATCGCACCGCGTTGGACACAGTGACTTATTTTGCTCCCAACGTGCCGCCAACGGGATATCCACAAAAGAAAGAAGAAAATAAAAATGGGAAAAGAAAAAGAAGTCAGCCATGCTTTCCGTGACACAGATCGCGGAATAAAATCACTTTCCATGAAAATTTTTCTGGGGCGACTTCCCAAAAACATGCTTGCTGCTGGGGAAAAAGTGTTGCCGCCGGGATAAAACAAAATTTTAAAAAGTAGGAATTGAAAATATGAAACAGCGATTCGCTCCCTTGGGATGCAGTACATCATATAAATAGGAGCTTATCCTAGCTCTCGTCATTTGACTAATAAAGGTCTCTTAACACGTGGATTTATATTTTGTGCAAAGAAAGTCAGGGAAAAATTCTACGCCGACGAATGCAGGCGATGACTGGAACACCGCCACTTAGCGTGTGACACGCATGCCGCCGATTCGTGTATGCTAAATAACCCCGGATGCAATTTTGTAATCTCCTTTGTTGCACCTGATTCTGAGAATCGTTCGTGACTTTTTTTTTTTACAGTTGGTGTCCCAACTGTGACTACGTTTTTTTCTCTCGGCTTTTGTCATTTCCACTATAGTGGCAATAAATGTGATTTTCATTCAAGGTTGATTTACCGTACACATACAGTACTTTACTTTATTCACTTGAATACTGAAAGAACCTTCAACATTTCCACAGGAAATGCGCTGAGAAACGCGGATGCCGTTCGTAGTTTAAAAGCCAAATGGTCAGTAAAATGTGCGGTTTATACATTAAAAATCAAGTGACAAATAAAATATCGTTCGGGGAAAAAGAGGCCAAAAAACAAGTCCCATGCTAAGCAACAAGAAGAAACATTACATTGTGTCCCAGTCGATTGAAATGTGTTTTATTCTCTTTTTGAAGCAGAGGATCGTGAAGATGTGACCAGGAAATTCAATCTTGGTTTGAGCCTTTTAACCTTTTAAAACATTCCTAAGTGTTTCAATGGGAATATTATTGTCGTTGCATGCATTTCAGGCAAATTCTACCTAATTTTGCTGCAGCCTATATATGCAGGTTTTCTTGTAAATTGCCAACCGGAATCAAATTTGCGGCACATAATCGCGTAAATGCGTTAGATTTTTTGATTATTCCTAACAGAAACGACGATGTCAAATTACGTGTGATGCTCTGTAAGACTCGGTTATTGAGCTCTTCGCGAAATATGCGGATAGAAAATTGAGCCTGGAAACCAAAATGTTGAACATTTTTGTGAAAGGCAATATGTCAAAATTCCCCGGCACGCATGTTGGATAGAAATTCGACGAATCCTCAAAGATAACTATATACTCCACGTTTCGATAGCGTGAAAGGTGTCAACAACATTTCAGAATTTTTAATTTGCGAAATATTTGTACGTCTATAAAAGGAAGCCATGCATATACAAGTAATAGTACCCTATATCAGGTGAACCTGGATAAATCAAACCTCCCTAAGTCAAATTCCTGCCTAAGTCTCAAATTTTTTTCAAGTCCCCTTAGAATCAATGCATTAAAAACCTCCCTAACTCAAAGTCTTTTTCTCTAAAACCTCTGTAAGTAGAATTTTCTGAGGCCTTCTGGTGATTACTTCCTTGAAATATGAAAAAGAAAATCATAAAAACAAATGATTTGATGCCTCTTGAAAGGAAGTGAAAGACTATTGAACCAAATGAACCCCTGCCTCCAAGTTCAACAATATAGGTGTAAACTCATTAAGGAGCAAGTTCAGGCCCAGAATATCCTCATTTATGATTTCCCACACTTTATTCACTCCTCTTCACACAAAAAGTGTTTGTTTCATTAACTGGAAACCTCCAAAAATTAAAACCTCCTTAATTCAAAACCTCCCGAAGTGGAATTATTTCCCTGGTCCCTATAGAAATTCGACTTACAGAGGTTCAACTGCTGATATAGCCCTTCTTTATCTCTTTTTTTTTTGATTGTGCGAGAAATTATTTTCAATTTAACCTGCTTCAGATTTGGGGAGTTGTTCGGTGTTATCTGATTCACCAAAGATAGGAATCTGGAAAACCCCAGAATATATGACGCATTCGAATCCCATGTTCTCGGAACGCGATGTTTCGGGCCGTCTATAAGGCTATAATAACTCTATTTTATGAAGAATTAACTTCGATCTTTCCCTGAATTCCATCGAATAATAGCTGGGAAGTAATTAAAAATTTGTTTCTGACGTCGTTGCCTCAGCTCGATGACAAGAAAATTAATATACGCTGATTACGGTGATGCCGTGGTCAGTATTTATTTCTTTTTTTTCGTTTTCAGATGAAAAATTTACGGTTCAACATCAAGTGAGGAATAGCGAGAACAATTTGTTTCGCCAACTATAGTCTCTTACTTCGTTCTTATTCGTTATCTTCTACGCAAACATTTTTTCAGAAATAGAGACGAATAAATGTGAACCAGAATTTTCGTTGTTGTAAATAATACGGATGACTCATTCGGCTCAATAACTGTGTTTCCAGAATAATTAGATAACTTTGCATTTATCTTTGACGTTATAATGCTGATTTCGATTGATTTTATGATTCGAATAGTGAACACAGATCTCTACTCTAGAGTCTAGTATAAACTTTGAGAATGGAATCTGGAGAGATGGGCATTTATGCATAATTTTTAATTCAATCTATAGAAATACGAGACGTCTCATGTCTGATTTTTCATCCCCATGTTGAATAAGAGACGCAAGTGCAGTGTACAGTATTTGTGATCCCGTTCTCTGCTGGGACTTATTTGCAGAGATACATACCAAATATCAAAACAGCATAAATATAAAAATCATCCGGATATTTAACGATATACAGTACAGTGCCTTATAATTCGAGGAAATCCGTGAATTATTTTTGTTCTGCATGATTATATAGATGTGGATTATTTCTGAAAACTTGTGACGCCATTGACAAGTGCACAGCAGTAAGATACTGCGTGCTATACACTTATACCATAAACAATACCGTA